TGGTAGCTTACGAAGGTACACATATTTCCCAACATCATCTCATGCACATACAAAAAAAAACTATACTTTGTTTGATGTTGGCTATCTGAGTCAGACATTGCTTAATAGTTTGATGTTTGATTAATGAGAGGGCAGGTTCTGTACCCCAAGGATCGGATCAAAGGTAATCAAGATGCACTTGAAGTGGTGATGAGAGCTTCAAAGACACTAAAAGTCTGCAGTTTGATAACAAACTCGAAACCTAACATCATCTTCGAGGTAAAAGTATGCAGTTTGATGTTTGATTGTGATAGTGTACCTTGTTAAAGCCAAGAAGGCATTTCGGACTAACACCAACATAACCAACAAGAGCAACTTCTGTCATAATCCCTGCTCTCCAGCGATGCTACAAAAATAATAACGCGAAACTGATTGGTACATTTTAGCGATGATATGCTGACGGTATTGCATGAATAAAGTATATATCATAATATAACTAAGAACCTTGTTCATAATACCGATAATACCAGGGTCGGATGCAAGCATGTGCATTCTGTTTAAGCATCAGCTGCATGAGACTTTAACTGCAGAAACTAAGTTCATAGAATCATCATCATCATCTACCTTGAGAAGTTTGTGAGAGAAAGAATTTGAGATTTTGACTACATGTAGTGAGTTACCTCTATACCAGGGAGTTGAAGAGTACGAAAATCGCAGAAGATGTAAGGCCCCTGAGGGAGCTTGATTGAAGTGTGTTAAGTATGAAGATTTCTAAGATGTATGAAAGGAGGTGTTGTACCACAGCTCAGCCCATGCTAAGTACTTGTACCATGTACGTGGGTGACTCGAAGCAAAACATCGAAGATACGTTTCCATACACCTATTCAAAACCTCAGTCTGGCCATCTGTTTGCGGGTGGAAAGCTGTACTATACTTCAACTTTGTCCCTGACAGACGAAACAAATCCTTCCAAAAAGAGCTGAGAAAGATTCTGTCCCTGTCCGAGACAATTGAGCTTGGAAACCAATGATGCTTAACAACCTCTGCAATGAATTTAGCTGCGACATCCACTGCTGTAAATGGGTGCCTAAGACCAATGAATTGACCATAGTTACTAAGCCGATCCACTACCACTAATATGACGTCAAATCCTTGAGAACTCGGAAGTCCCTCCACAAAATCCATTGACACATCCTCCCATACTCGCTCTGAGATTGGAAAAGGTTGTAAAAGACCTGCTGGTGTGAGTGTAGAATACTTATGTGTTTGACAAATGTTGCACTCTGAAACATATTTCTGAACCGTTTGATATAACCCCTCCCAATAAAATGTTGTCTGAATACGTTTCACCGTCTTTAGAACTCCGGAATGACCCCCCTCGTCTTCCATCATGAAACTCCGTTAAGATCAAGGGTATAAAAGACGAGTTCTTAGGAATCACCAACCTCCTCTTGTACCATAGACGGCCATCAACCACACGGAAGTTAGTATTCTGCGGTCCCTCCTTGAGAATTTCTGCAATCCTTCTTTGAATACCCTCATTTGCTTCTATCTCTTTATAGATGTCTTGAAGTTGAAGAACTGAAGGTACCGTTAGAGCCAACAACATAGACTGACCTTCAACTCTTCTGTCATGCTCAATTCTAGACAACCCGTCTGCGGCCTTGTTATCACACCTTGGCTTTGTACAAAATGACGAAATCAAATCCCAATAACCTTTTCAACCATCGATGATACTCCATATTCACCTCTTTCTGTTCCAGCAAGTATTTCAAACTCCTATGATCAGTATGAACAACAAACTGTCTGCTTAACAGGTAATGTTTCCATTTATGTATTGCCATAACCACTGCCATTAACTCCCGCTCATACGCCGGTTTAAGTTGTTCTCTTGTTGAGAGCCCATGACTAAAGAAAGCGATTGGTTTGTTGTCTTGCATCAAAACTGCACCCACTCCATACCCTGATGCATCTGCTTCCAGTATGAATTTTTTCTCAAAATTAGGTAACGCTAGAACTGGAGCTGATACCATTGCCTCCTTCAGTTGTTCAAATGCTAGCTGAGCCTCCTCTGACCACTGAAAACTGTATTTCTTAAGAAACTCAGTCAGCGATCTTGCAATAGTCCCATACCCTTTAACATAACGTCGACAATACCCTGTGAGTCCAAGAAATCGTCGTAACTGTTTCACTGTCTTTGGTAAAGGCCACTGCTTCATACACTGTGTTTTAAAGAATATGTGGCCACTCCATCTCTTGAAATGATATGGCGTAAGTATTCAGTCTGATGTAACCCAAATGAACACATCTTTCTGTTAACCAACAACGGTTGATCTTGTAAGACTTGTAATACCTCCCGAAGGTGACTGACATGCTATCGTTCTGCTATATATCAACACATCATCAAAGAATACTAACACGAAACGACGAAGGAACGGTTTGAACACAGAGTTCATTAGCGCCTGAAATGTTGCAGGGGCATTAGTAAGGCCAAAAGGCATTACCAAGAATTCATAATTTCCTTACACAGTACAGAACGCAATCTTTGCAATGTCTTCTTCATGCATCCTTATTTGATGGTACCCGGAACGTAAGTCAATCTTCGAGAAAATCGTTGCACCATGGAGTTCATTCCAGAGCTGATCAATAACCGGAATTTGGAATTTATGTGGTATTGTAGCCTTGTATAAAGCTTTGTAGTCAATGCAAAACCTCCAAGATCCATCTTTTTTCTTTGCCAATATTACTGGGCTCGAAAAAGGGCTCGTGTTTGGCCTGATTATTCCTGATTCAAGCATCTCCATAACCATCTTTTCCATCACCACCTTGGTATTATGAGGATACCGGTACGGTCTTACAGAGATTGCAGTCACTCCTGGTTTAAGGTTGATCGCATGATTCTTCTCTCTAAATGGAGGTAAATCTGTTGGTAAAGAAAATACCCGATCAAACTCAACAAGAACTTCTAACAGCTTTCCAGGAATCTCTGGAATTGTTGAAGTTACCACACTAGTGAGAGTATAAAGCGCTCCTCTTCCTTTAACTTCACTAGATGAGTCAGGAGACAGTGACTTAAGTGAGAGCTTGGAAGCATGGAGTGTTGGATCTCCGAACAGTGTTACTTTAACTCCTTCATGAATAAAGGACAGTTCTTGCTTCTTCCAATCAATCTCGCATCTTCCTAAGGTCTCCAGTAACAGTATGCCTAAAATAACATCAACCATTCCTAGTTCCAAAGCTATAAAATCCGATGTGAATGTGGCATATGCTAGTTGAAACGGAACAGCCATGCATACTCCCATGCTCTTGACTGTGATCCCATTCCCCAGCACGATGTCAAAACTTGTTGCAGCACAAATTTTCAACTCAAGTTTTTTCACAATTTCTGGTGTTATGAAATTGTGATACGCCCCACTGTCGAGCATCACAATCACATCAATATTCTGAATTCGTTTATACAGTTTGGTTGTCTTAGGAGACTCCCTTCCCAAGTACGAATTCAGTGACAAAGTACATAATTCTTGCATCTGAGCTTCAAAGAATTGCTCTTCTACGTCGTCATCTCTCTCATCCAGTACTTCCACTTGTAAACCATTGAGAGTGGTGACCACTCTTGTGTCCTTGTTAGGGAATTTGTGAGCTCTTGACCAGCCTCCCGCTCCACATTTGAAACATATAAATTATTTTCTCATCTTGTCAAGTTCTTCATTTGTATACTTCTTTGTTGTTTTAGCACCACTACCATTGTTGTCCTTCTTGAAAGGTACCACATTCGAAGCTTCAGTGCGACGCCTACTGTTGTTGTATGTTGAAGAAGACTTCGAAGAACTCGAATACGTCTGCTTTTGCTCCGGTTTGTCAGCTTGAGATGAGTCACTCACCACTTTACAGAATGCACTAGACTCCATTCTCAACACAACCGCTATGTGATTCTCCAAGCCTTTTGGTTCTTTCATTCTAATCACTTCTTTCATCTCCTGATTGAGGCCAGTGTAAAAGATCTTGATTAAAAGATTATCATCCAATCATGCTACCAACTCTGAAAGTTCTTCAAACTCATAGATATAATCACTCACAGACCCCGTGCGTTTCAAAGAAAACAATTGTATCTCTGGTTCCTCTTCAATAGATTCCATGAAACGTAACACCAATTTCTGCTTGAGGTCGTTCCAATTCTGAAAACCATTTCTCTTATGTTCCCAGCCAAACCACTTCTTAACCTTCCCTTCCAAACTCAAGCCAACCAACTACAATTTCTCTATTTCATCATACCTCCCAATACTAAACCATCGTTCCACTTCTGTTAGCCACACATAAGGTTGTTTCCCCGTAAACACCGGCATACATATCTTCTCCAACATAGATTCTCTATTCGCAAGATTCATATTCCCAGCTCGATAACCTAGAGAATGTTCATTCCGGTGTTGTTCCCAATTAGCAGAGAATACATGTGATTGCGACAGTCCTGGAGCCTGATGATTGATTTGCTCACTGCGATTCGTTGATTTGTCCAAGATCTGCAATATCGAACGCAACTGTTGATTCACTTCTACGAACCTAGCATCAGACTCCTTTTGAGCGCGATTGAGTTTGATGTAACCGCCTTTTAAGAATTCAAGATCCATCGCATGACTCTCCAGATCGCGTTCATCTTCCGCATCGTCGTTCCCTGAACTCGAACTTAACTTCGCCTTCGACATCCTCCGTGATTCCGATAATCGCACCTTAGAAAGTAGATCTGAACTCATACAGCTCGGATCTCGTCACACCGCGTGTTCCGAACCAGTTTCACCGCACCAATTGTTAAGTATGAAGATTTCTACTCAAAAACACTCTCTTTATTGATGTATTTTCTCAATTGAATTACAATATAAGAGGCAATCTCATACGATTATCCTCTCTTACTCTCATACGAGTAAGGACCCAGCTCATACTCTGAGATCAACAATACTGTAAAATAACTAATCAACTCTAACTGACACTTTTATCTTCCACGTGTCCTCATTAATTCTCTGAATTGTTCAAATCCTCTGCAACAACTCTTCCCTCATGTGCTGACTTCTCTCCCTTGTATCTCTTTCTGTAGTAGGTATGTTTATACCTATCAAAGTGGTGGAGAACTTCTTTAGCCTAAGCCTTTTCTCCTCGTCCTTGAAGCCAAGTATTCTCATGTCAGGTATTGCATCTTTTTGAACTTCGTTGGCCTCTTCTTCAGTCACTCCCATCATTCTGATAGTTTTTCCCTAAGAAAGTAAACCAAAGAATAAGCATTTATCAGACAAAGAACATTTTTTTTGTTCGGAATCATATGCAAACCTCAAGCTGGAGTGGTCATCAGAAAAGGGAAATATCAAGTTTGAGCCTTTTTCATGCAACCGGGGAACGATCAGACGGAGCGTCTCCGCCGTAACGCTGGTTAACTTTCTCAAATCACAACTTAAATCCTTCAGATTAGCCTTGGAATCGATCTTGACGGTGTATTTGTTTCCTCTTCAGGTGACATAGACTTTCATTGTTCTTCCCGAATTGTCCATGCGATTGGATAACTCTACACTATTATCGCCAACAGGCATTGTAATAACCCTCACGAGCCAGTTAATATTTGGTCGAGAAAAACTCCGCTCGACCAGATCGAATTTGGTTCGATCATAGTTAAAATAAAGTCGACCCGATTAATTAATTTCTCGACAGGACTGTCTTGTGATCAGAAGACCTTCCCTTGATAGTCTGGTCGAGTATTAATTATTATGTTTGAGTTTTATTTAAGCTGAACGAGTGTATCCTAGAGTAGGACAAGAGTTAATGGACAAACAAGTATTTTCTCAAAGACTGTTCTGAAATATCAACCAGCTTTCTAAATTGTTTTGACCCGTCATGTACTTCACTATCGCAGATCCGTGATCAGTAATCAAGTCACATGTAATGCACCTACTAGTCTTCTTGCCTTCTTATTAAAGGTCATATGAGATTCATGAGCTGCCTGCTTGCTAGCTTATCAAAAAAATAAAAAAAAAAATAAAAAGATTATCTTGTGGCTGGAAAAGCTTTCTTCAAAGGAGGGAAAGAGTGAGCAGCTTGGTGGCTGTGACTTCTGAAGCAGGACGCCAGCTGCCTCCTCTTAGTTAAGCTTAGTAATGAGCTAAACCCTCAGGTGAAGTAACCACAGCTAGTATTTAACCCCTTCTCCAGCTTCTTTGGTCGTTTTGTTGCTGAAACAAAGACAGAAAATTCAGAGATAAAAACAATGAGAAAGGAGAGAAAAGTGAGAGAACAGTCAGAGAAAATTAGATAAGACCTTGGACGACTCTCTTCCATCCTCTAGCTTATTTCCTCTCTGTGTAGAAGATCAGAAGGTGAAGTATCCAGAGAAAACCCTACAGTGTTTTATGTCTTTGTGATGAACCGATTTAGATTTCTGTTTTTAAAACAGTCCAGTCGGAAGCTTACCTTGGAGAGAAGAATCATCTGAGTTCATCCACCGGTTTAGATTTTGGGTAAGCTTCATCTCCTTGTCTCAATCACTGTCTGATCAGAACCAGTTCATGTTTAGATCAGGACATGGTCGAATCAATTATCTAAGTAGTTGTTACGGTTCTGTTTGTGTAGCCTCTGTTTGAATTACTTCAGTAAACCGCAAGCAAACTGATCTGAATTGTTTGAACTTATGCTGAACTGAACTGATCCTGTCCTGAATCCAACTTGTCTGAAACAAACTGATATAATATAGGAGGAGTAGAACCGAGCTTGAACTGAACTGATTTAAGTTGCTAGCTTGAACCAAACTGTCGGAAAATTAATGTTCTGAACCGAACAGATTTAATCTTGCCTAGTACTAATCTGAGCCGAGCTGTCTACAGTCTGAACTGGTCATATCCTGATCTAGTCTGATTTGATATGAACTGCTAAACCTTGTCCTGAACCGACCTGATAAGATTTGATTTAATTTTCTTCTTCGATACCGAACCGTTAGATTAACGATCTTGTGTACCGAACTGCTTTTTTTTTAGTTCGGTGGTCAAGGTCAGTGGTGGGATCAACCGGATCCTTCCTTGTGGACGTTTTGAGTCAGAAGTAAAGTGGAGTGTGATTAGCTTGAGCTCATGTCTAGTCTTCCTTAGCCAATCTCAATGATTTAAAGGTGAGTCTAGATAGATGGATTATGATTTATGAAAGAGTGTTGCTTGATTTACCAATCTTTTGAAGGCGTGATGCACCAAGAAATTTTCAGAAATCTGCTGCACAACTTGATTTGGACAGCCCACAGTTTCAGACTTGTCTCAAGAATGAAATACAGCACCAATGAAAAGAAGCTGTACAAAGCCAACAAAAGAGGCTAAGACCACGACCAACCTCAGTAGCTGATGAGCCGAGTTGTTATAACAAGGCACCAGCAGAGAAGGATCCAGAGATCGCAGCAGAACTGGTTATTCTCAGTCAAGAAGATAGCATGGCTGATCAATTGAAACAAGAGGAAATACAACAAGCTTTGGAAGCTGAGGTGTCTGATCTAATTAATGCTGAACAGGACAGAGAAACTCAATTTTGGTGTGGGCACGTTCCTGATCAAACAAAGAAAGAAGATGCAGTGCTAGAAGAATCATCTAAAGCTCCTGAAGTGTTGCTTTCTATGGTTGATCAAGGTGAGAATTTTAAGAATTTATCTTGTGAGTTACTGATCAAGCTTAAGGTATCTCTTCAGCTCAGCATAGGGACGCATCTAAGAGTTCTCAAGGGTCTGCAGCAAGTTATTTTTGAACCAGGAGGAAGCTTGAGTGTGAGTAGAACAAGTAACAAATATTTGGTGCAGAAAACAGTTTCATACAAGCTTGATTTGCAAGGTTCCTTCACTCCTAAAGAACAAGATTTGAGGTCAAATCTTTTTGAAGGGAGAGAGGATGGTGTGATACTGAGTAGCCGGAGTAAATATAAAGGAGGAACAGGAGGCACCACGTACTTGAGAAGGTTCATGTTAGATCAGTACAAGCTGAGAAGAGAAAAACAAGTACTGGTTAAAGAGAAGCAAGAACTGGAGGATGAGTATGGGGACCAAACCACACGACCACCTGACCAGAAGGAGGTTAAATTGAGAGTACATAACCTCATGTTCATGAGCAGGACGTGTGCAAGATCACCCTGGAGAGAAATAGTCATCTTCAAACTCATCAAAGTTGAGAAACCATATACTTGCAGAATTGTTTATGATGAATTCTTCTCAAAACATTTGCTGATGTATGAAGAGGATCTACAACACTTTGTATTCAAGCCAGGAGAAGATCTATGTGTGTGAAAACAGGAACCAACTCGTGGTCAAAAGAGCAAGAAGTCTGGTTTTGAGTGATCATGAATCTATCATCTTACAAGGCTCGGATTTGAGGACAAATTCTTTGAAGGGAGAGAGCATGGTGAGACCCTGATCAGCTTCATGCTAAAGGACATGAAGTCAACTCAGGAAGGAGCTAGGCAATGGATCATGGCACGACCTAAAGGGCTTGTTAGAGAGCTTATTGGCCTGATTCATGAAGTATTGGACCGAGAAAAGGCTATGGGCCTTGATGCAGTCTTAAACAAGTATGTAATGACTTTGGAGAAGCATGGACGATCAGTGAGAACCATCATTGACAAGGAAATGGATTGGAGGAGACTAGTTGGACAGAAAATGGATTGGGAAATTCAGTGTGATCAAGAAATGTACTGGTCAAACCGAAATGGGCGAGAAATGAGTTGGAAATGGAAGATGAAGAACCAGAGTTGGATGGAACATGAGGAGGATCTATATCATCCAAATGAGCATAAGGAGCAACTTGGTAGGATCTGGAACAAGATGGTTCGAACCCAAGAAAGAGTTGTTCGAAAAAGGTCTTTATCGGCCCAAAAAGTGGAAAGACAAGCCAGTCTGGACTATGATTGGCCCAAGAAGATTTGGCACGTCCAAGATGGTTTATTTTAAGTTTAATTCTGATTTTATTAAGTTTAAACCAATTAGGAAAAAGATTTGGTTCTGTGGTGGATTACATTGGAGATTGACATGAAGTTTTTTTCGTCGGTGAAGATTCTTCACTAAGAAGGGAAGTTGAGAATAAAGATCGGATATTGCGGATCACTGATTTGCCCGCATGACAAACTCGGTCCATCCCCCTCAAGGCCCAATCCCGTAGTCACTATGCCCGTGAGGCCTGCTTTTTCCGGGCCTATAAATCTCTGATCCAATACCTTTCTGTAACAAATCTTTGCGGGTCAGACTCGTTGTCTAAATTCTACTTTGCCATCTTTATCACCAACCAAAACCTTTAATTGATCCGTGCGTTTAACACATTTATATAAAACTTGCAAAGAAAAAATACGAAACAAGTATTAAAATCTAATACTATTATTATTGTAATTCTTAGGTGAATTCATTTCTTGTTGTCTCTTGCAGCAACTTTTTCATGGACAATAATTTGTTCATGTCAATCTTATTTGTTTAGAGAAACTTTTTAATAAACATATCTCAAAGAAAAGATTTGACATTGAAATTACAGCATCATAAATCAACTTAAATTGATTCACAATTTTCATCATGAAATATTGGTACTGGTTCATTCTGAAAATTAATTTATTAATGTTCCATTAAGCAGTCAAAACAAAACGATTTTTCTCATGCAATTTCCAATAAAAGAAACCAATGCCCAATTTCAAGCAAAAAAAAGAAAGAACTTCAAAGAGAAAAACAAAAAAAAACAATAAGATTACCATTCAAACTTGCTATGCATCTTTATTCTCACCATCAACCTCGTCCTCGGCTGCCTTCGTCACCAATTCTTGATCTTGCGCACTTGGAGAGGACTCAGAAGCCTCATCAAGGGACAAGTTGGAGATCTCACCAGTAACAGAGCTGGCATCGCCTTCGTCAGTAGCATCTTCTGAGACATTCGACTCTGTGTCTGATTGTTGCTGGAGGCTCCAGTACATGATGCTAGCCGCCAAAATAAGCATCATCTTCTGGTTCACCTGTTTTACACAAGTAAATTGACTCACCAAAAACCAAAAAAACATTCAGGCCAGTTTCGATATATTACCTCTATGATATCCTCAGGCAACAAGAATATGGAGCATCCGAGCTTCCTTGCAACACTGATGATGTATGTAGCATTTAACTTCTTATCCTCCTCTGCTTAGGCGCCAATTACAGCCACACAGAACTCATTCTTCAAAACGGTACGAAATTTATAGGGAAGAAAACATGCAA